GCCATCATCTAATATTAAGAATCCTGCCCTGTGAAGGAATGGGAGAAATGTTTGCATTCTTACATACCTGAGCAAGCCAGTGCCTGAGATTTCTTTCTAGTTGTGGTTTCACTCTGGATGGCAAAAAAATAGCAGTTGTGGCGGACGGGCATGGTTTTGACACTTTCCTGTATTTGCTACTAAAACAGCAGAAGACTCAGAGTTGGAAGGGTCCATTGAGGACATCTAGTCCAACTTCTTGCTCAGTGCAGGGATTCAGTTTCAAGTGTCTCTAGCAGATGGCTCTGCTTGAACATCTCCAGTTACCAGCTCCTGAGGCCGTTGGTCCCATTGTCTGACTGCTCCAACCATTAGGAGTTTTCCTGATCCTCAACCAACATCTCCCTTCCTGAAAATGAAGCCCGTTATTTCATATCTTAAATCTTTGATGTTGGAGAACGGGTTGCGGCTTGCTTTTCTGTGGGACAATTGTTTAGATCCCCAAAAAGTGATACCGTATCTCCCCCCTGCCCCTGGGCCAGTCTTCTTTCATGGCAAAGCATCCTCTGTTCTTTCAATCTTTCCTTTTACAACTTAGCTACTAGTCCAATCTCTTTCTAGAAGAAGAATTAAGTTCGCAGCCTTACTGTGCAAGATGTAAAGGTGCCACAAGCTGGACTAGCAGGGGCTTCCTCTCTAGCTTTGATACAGGTTCCTTCGATTTCCCTTAATATTTGATCAATCATTTCAGTGTTGCAACATGTTCCAAGTGGAGAGGGCTCGAGACGTGTGACAGGACATCCCGACGAAGTCAGGAATCCCTGTTGATTTGTGTGGGTTCGGGCTGCTTCATTAAACTCTGGTCTGAACGATGCTTGCTTGGAAGCTGGCTCCATGGAAATCAATGGGGCATTTTTCCAACCTGCCTGCATCTTTAAGATTGAGGGGCCAGCCAGGAATAGGTAATTGACAGCTTGCAAATCAACCTTGGCCCAATTTTTCTTGGCCTTTGGACAATTAATGACATTGAAATAAACTTCAATTTTCATTAAAATGAAAAGCAAACACCTAGGTAGTGCATAAAGCATAATAAGCTATTTTTGTGGCTTTGGAGCAAAGCATGGAAAAGACATCTGTGTCAAAGCCCGAGGCAAGTTTTCAGGAATTCAGAAAGAGATCCAAGCCTTCTATCCACATATGGTACCAAGTTGGACTTGAAATGGGTGAACCGATCTAATGCATAAAAATCATCTCACCATGAAAAGGAGGGAAAATGCCTTCCTTTACTGTTCAGCAAACAAAACTGTGCATGGTTAACCAAGTAAACTGGAATTCTCTCCAAGCAATTTGCCTCGTATTTGCTTGTGGAGGTGGCCGGCTGGCTAGCGAGAGGTTCTTGCCACGTGGAAATTAAACGGGCATGGACAGTGGGTGGCTGTGGGAGGCCATCTCCGCCTGAATCCCATTTGTAGGGGATGGGGTGGGGTGAGCCACTGGTGATAAGGGAGTGCGTGCAGGTGAGCGAGAAGGTTGCCCAGGGAGGGATGCAGCCCGAGGTCTTTCCTCTGCCCCAGCAGACCGCTGGGGAAGGGGAGCACCTTCTCTGCCTTCCGGATAGAAACGCAACAGGCTGAAGGACGGATGATCTTCTCAGACCCTCCTCTTCCAGCCCCCCAAAGGTACGTATTATGTGGGGCTTCTGCGCAAGGCTTGGGGGCTGCCCTCACACCCTGCTCCAGGACTTCACAAGAGGCATCTGGTGGCCTGTTTTGGGACACAGGATGCCGGGCAGGTCAGATCTAATGCACACCTGAACTATCCCGGCAGGGGACTCTCACTTCCCTAGCCTCCACGCAAGCCCCCCTGAAATGAGGAGCTCTGGAAGAGCCCAGGCATTCCCACAAAAGTGATGCTTCCTGGCAGCTGGCTGAACGTGCTGTGGGCCGCTCCACTGCCTTGTTACAACAGCTTTACAGATAACAGGTTATTTCCAGGCACCCTTCAAAATGCTGGTAATGGCACAGAAAGACCTGTGTGGCTTAGGACCATGTGGGCTGCCTGGAAACAACCCTTTTCCAGTCCGGGTCTACCTTGGGCTTAAGATCTTCAGCGGAGGCCCTCCTCTTGGTTCCAGCACCATCAGAGTAGTGCTTGGTGGGGAGGTGAGGGGGCCTCCTGGGGGGCTGTTTTCACGCCGGCCCCTCTGCCAGCAGGCGAAGGTACTTTTCTGCCAGTTGGTTTGGGCCACGTGATGGCTTGGGCGTGAGCTTTTTAACTGTGCATTAATGTATTTGCTTCTGATTGTTTTAACTGGGTTTTTTTTATTTTTATTGCACATTTCGGTACGTATTGTATTTAGAAGCTTTGACTACCATTTCCTTAGCGGAAAGGCAGACTATAAATCAAAGGAAAACGTTCCAAAAGTCCTGCGTTTTGATAAGAGACATTTGGACTCCATCTGTGACCAGGGATGCAAAAGGTAACTGATGTGAAGCAAAGCCTAAACTAAACAAAGGAGCAGGGCCAGTTGGACGCACAGTGAGGTTCTATTATAAGCTTCATACGATTTTTGGGGGGGGGGTTGTGAAAAAGGAAGTGTAGGCGGCTAGGCTGAATTCTTCTCCCTTGGCAAGATGTAAAATAGATTCCTATATCCATTAGAGATCCAGCTTACTTGGGAATGATCTGTCTATATTTCTTCTTAACGTGGATGATAAAAACTGACCTCTGTATTGGCCAGGAGATTAAATAAAGCACTATTCAGACAAATCAAATGGGGGTTTTGAGGGGAAGGAATTTGTTTCAAAATAGTCACAAAACATTCTGTGGCATTTGTCAATGTAGAAAAGGCCTTTGATAGGCTGGAATGCAGGCAGGGGGGTGGGATATGAATGTTCCAAACAAGATCTGGATTATATGTCAAGCGTAATACATAAATGCTCAGGCTATTCAGACATCCTGGGATACAGTAAACGGCTTAACTATGACTCTGACATCAAATTAAAAGTTACGAGGCATGATAAACATTTATTATGGCTGCATTGTGAACTGCTTGGCATTTAAAGCATTCGCTGTGCAGGACTTACATAATTCTGGGCTCTCCAGAATACCCGGTATGGTGCTTGTAAAATTAAGATGCATATCCTAAGACTGTTTTGAAACAGAAGAATTACATCCATTTAGTCCATGACTTTGATTTCCTTTTGAGTAAAGCAAGATGAAAAAGGAAGAATTAGATTTGGTGTTGTCCCTCTCTTATTGCATAGTTTGAGAAATCCGTTTTCTCTAACCTCGTTTCTCTCGGAGGGCAGGGCTTTCACTCATATGCGCAGTTAGTGACATTATGAAAGAGTAATCCTAGCACAGCTGTTTTATTGTGTTAAGACTGGCCAGTTCTCAGGACTTCTGAGAAATGGCAAACTTAATTTGCGAAAATGATAGAAATGGCAACCACATGCCGCAACCTCTTGCCAGATCGCTCGGGCCTATTGCCACAGCGAATGCAATCATAATAGTTTTCACGGTGATCCGAATTTCAAATGAGTCTCTCCTGGCAGCAGAAGTGTTTTGAGTAAACAGCTCCGGTACCGTGTAGTGTCCTCATTCGGAAGAATTTGGAATGCGTCTCTTTCCCCGTTTTGCAACGAGCAGCTGCTGCCTTGGCTAGTCGGATGCTTCAGCGATGCTGCCATGTGTGCTTGTCAGTTGCACTCCACCTGCCTGTTTTAATTGCATTCCTGTGTCTGGGTAAAGGAAGGGGAACGGGGGGAATCGTGGTGCATAGTTGGGGTTGATGATCCAGTGCCATTTCCATTGGCAAACCAGGTGTATCCTCGCTTCAGGTATTAAAAAAAATCAAATCAGATCTGCCGGTCCTTGCATGCCTGCCCTGTAGCTGCTTCCCCCTCCACCGCTCTCTCACTGTGGGAAAAGCAGATGCCGTTATTTTAATTCTGCTCTTGGACGCTGGAGATCTCCCTTAACAAGACCTTTAATAATCCCTGACAGGGAATTCCAGGGGGACAGCGTTGAAAAATGTTTGGCTGTAGAACTGGAGCCGAAGGCTGGGGTTGGAATTGAATATTGCAGGAGCTGAAGTTTGAAGTCTCGAGGTGGAAGAGAAGCCTGGTTTTGCACAAACCAAAGGGACTTCCAAATCTTATTTCGCACTGACAAAGAGGGCCAGAAAGAATGCATTGCTCTTGGGCATGCTTTTCTCATATATGTGCATATAGATTTATTTATGTCTTTATTTTGTTTCCCTCAGGACACTGGAGGGAGGAAGAATAGATTGATCGGTTAAATTGATTAAATCACCCCTTCCCACATATACTTTCTAACACAAACACTTATAGAAACAGTACCCCCCCCCACGCTTAAGAGGCATCTCCACCTCTGGCCTGAATTCCCCCTTCAGCGTGTGCATCACCTAAAAACAGATGCTGTACACATCTTTCTTCAGCACTAAGTCTTGTTTAATTGAGTACGGCTTTCATCCCATACCCCCTTCCTGGCTCTAAGACCCACTGGACTGAGTGGGACTTTATTTGCAAATACAGAACTGCCCAGTCCAACTAAACAACATTAATTGGCCGAGCTGGCCGTAACTGGCCAACAACCCCAATGGACAGGTTTTGGATGGCCTGGTGCAGAGGCACCCCTCTTTTCCCCACTGTTCGCTCGCCTGCTACGGGGGCTTGTAGTAGAAGGTGCTTGCAGGTAAATATAGCGGTCCCTAATGCTCAGGTGCAATGCTCCTGAGACCTGCTGCCGGGGAGGGTGATAAAGGGGCACCCTGGAATTCAGAGACTGAGTCAAGGGAGCTGTAGGGGAAGCCGCCGTTGCACGAGTCGACCCGTTGCTGCTGGCAGGGGAATGCTGCCCTCCGCAGCTGGCTCAGGCTTGTGCTGCGAGGATCAAGAGGGCGTTTTTGGTAGAAAGGAATCGAGAGGACAGCTCCCTTGGAAAGCGCTCCTGCGTGCTGCCGCGTGACCATCATTTCGCCTCGCCATGTTTTGCAGAGCCAGCGAAGCCGTGCATGAATTGACCCGCTCGCTCACGGCCCAGCACTGCTTCCTGTTTCTGAATGATGACAGAGCAGGACTTAGCTGATGTGGTTCAGATCGCTGTGGAGGACTTGAACCCGGGCCATCCAGGTATGTTGAAGCAGGGATGCGCAGTGGGGGTGAACACAGCCCTTTCCCAAGTGTTGCCGGTTGCCGTGCACCTTTTGTTATGTAATTTGGATAAAGGCAGGAAGATGAAGAACTAGCCAAACAACGTCATTTTCCTTGGGAGCCGAATAAAATAATGATTTGTTGGAAATAGGTCACCTCTTTGAGTGTCCAGCCGTTTTTCCTATTTTCCTATTCCTGTCCTATGTCCCAACAGCATATTTTGTGAATTTCATATAATATGGAGACGTGGTGACATAAACTGAAGCACTGGCAACCAACAGGAACACAACAAGGGTTTGGGAACACCCTGATGCCCAAGAGGATTGATCTGGCTGGTGAGGAGGCCTGGAACTAGAACTTTGGACCAAGCCTGAGATCAGATCAACCTTCTGAGACACTCTGGTGATGGGTAGCTGTAGCTGTAAAAGCCATTTTGGGGAAAGAAATATCTCCACGTGCTCCCGAGCTAGGACCTGTCCTTGGAAGATCGTTAGGCTCCGTTCAATTTGTAGCCCTCAAATTAATTTCTTTTGGCCATTTATCGAAACACTGAAAATGCTTTGCTCTGTTTTTGCTTTGCAGTTGTGTTGGAAAACCATGAAGTGACGGATGAAGACGTAGAACCACCTTTAAAACGTCAGCGGATAGAAATTAATTGCCAGGACCCCTCAATTAAGGTTGTGGCTATGGGCAGTTTTGTTGCGGTTGTTTGAAAAGGGCGGTTCGTCCTGCAGGGAGAGAGTTCTGTCCTGTTATGACCAGAAGCGCTTGGGGCGCTGTAAAGCAGCTGCAGATTTACTGCCCTGTGAAAGACGGACGTGGGGACAGAGACACGAGTGAGATGATGCAGAAGCAGCGTTCCTGCTTTGGAGAGACCTCCATAGACACTCTCTTGTGCTTCTGGTGACCAGCTCCTTTTCCAGTTAGGGGCACACCTGAGTTTTCAGGTTACCAAGAAAAATCCCACATATGACCTTACAAGAAATAATCAGGTCAGCAGACAACGGTCTGAAAACCCTCTTAGTCTTGAGCAAGAAAATGCACCTTTCAGCGTGTGGTTTGCCCTGTGCATGGCCCCCCTTTTGTTAAAAAAGTGATCGTCATGATGGGCTGAAGCTATGCTATAGTTCGATGGGTCCTTTTCACCTGATTTCCTGAGGGGGTGATCAAGAAAAAAGAGTACATCCCTCCGACTTCCCTTTTTCTTGGTCATTATTCACTTGTGTTTATGGGCTAATCAAAAGGTGGTAGATCATGGCCCTTCCAGAGACAGGCAGGCAGAGTAAATCTTTAACCGCTAGCAGTGCCCAGAGAGCCACAGATCGTGGGGCTTCTCAGAGACGAGGCGGAAAAAGGCCTTTGCCCTTGGAGCTGGGCATCTGCACTCCTCTGCTGCAGCTGGCATAGGAAGAGCCGTGTTGGTTACGCCTCCAAGCCCTGCGCGTGACCTTGGCGAAGGGGGAAGAGCGTGGCCCGGAGCCCAGGGAGCAAGGAGCCCGGCCCCACCGGGATGGGCCCAGTTCTGCCGATGGCCCAGGCCTCTTGTCCTTTCCATCTGAAGGGCCTCAGACGGGTGGAATTGGCCGTGTTGTGGATTTCTAGGGCAGGAGAAGCTCAGCGGTTCCTTCTGCCTTGTATTGGGTGCCCATCATCTGCTGAGCCTGGAGGGTTGCAGGCACTGGGGGGAACCCGGCGTTTCGTGACCGCACTCCTTCTGTGAACAATTTCTTCATGGTTTGTCACCTGCTTAATTTTAGAGTTATTTTTTTTTCAAAAAATGTTTTTCCCCCAATTTGAGTGTCTATTCTGTGTGACTTTTAGCTCAAGCCCACCAGAGGGCACACGAGAAATTTCTTAAAGAAAATTAAGTCTGACTCAAAAAGCATCACATTTTTGTAATAAATAAGGCACAGGGAGGAGGCCTTAACCTTCCTTTCCAGTTATTTATTCAGTCGCAGTGCTCTGAATGCGCTAAGTGCGGAAAATGGGCATATCAATAAACATGACTTGCTCCAGGACTCAAACCATATTTATATCCTGCCTTTCTGATTTGTTTGCAAAAACATTTGAAGTGCCCAGGCAAGCTCGATTGAAAACACATCAAAGTATAAAAATAGCAAAGTAAGAAAACAGATGAAATTTTAGTTTGAAGACGGGCCTGGGATAATAAATCCAAGATCAGACATACTGCCGTCCACTAGAACAATGCAGTTTTTACCTGGTGCTGGGTTCCCATTAAGGAGGGGACTAGCTGGGGTAGCTACCTCTGCCGCCTCAGTGGAAAAGGACCTCCGTCAGGCCGCTACTAGCTGCATCTGCGGGTTGCGCAGGCCCAGGAAACCTGTTGTGCCAGCAAACACTAGAGATCATTGATGCTAGTGCGACACAATTCAGCTATGGCAAGTTTTGACATCGCTAAATTCTGTTCCAGTTTAGAACCGGTTGCTGCCCCCGCGGGGGGTTCAGTGCGCTGGATCCGCGGTGAGTGAAGCAAAGGCATCCAGCATACCATCCTTGCTCTTCTGAGTCAGGGTCAAGACCTGAAGCTTCATCTCAGATTTTAACCCTGGTTCTCTCAGCGATTCTTGTGCACACCTTTTTGGTGATTTTAAAAATCTGACTCCTCCTTTTTATTAAGGATGGGCAGGGTGTTTTCTAAATTCTTTCCCACCTGCAGAGGGGCAGCCCCGCTTTGTAGTCCCAGGCATCAAGTGCCCGAGCGTCATTCGGACTTGGCACTTCTGGGCTGCAGTGGGCTCATGCACTTCCGCGGTGCGGTGCTGTTCCATTGGTCCTGTGGCCGCTCGCGTCTAGCAGCCAAGTGGCCGGGCGCGGCTCCTTGAGCATAGGTGGTTCCTTCCTGGCCCCTGACGTTTGCATGCTCCTGGCAGATAATTCCGTGTGCATTAAAAGTAGTCACTCCTGGCTCGTTCCTTTTGCTCCCCAGTCGTTCCTGTATTCCATTAACCAAACGATATGCCTGCGGTTGGACAGCATTGAAGCAAAGCTGCTGGCCCTTGACGCCACCTGCAAATCCCTGGAAGAGAAACTGGACCTCGTCATGAACAAGCAGCACAGCCCCATCCAAGTCCCCATGGTGGCAGGCTCCCCGCTCGGCGCTACCCAGACGTGTAACAAAGTGCGATGGTAAGAGAGGAGGGTAGGAGGACTGGCTTTGCCACGGCCGAGGCGGGTGATTTCCGAGGAGCCGTCCCAGGCCCGCTGTTCGGCTTAGGACGAGAAATGCGCCTTGAGGCAGCGGCCTTGCCAGCGTCCTGCTTCTCCCCTTGGTTTGTGGACGGGCTGGAACTGTTGCCACATTTCGTCCTGTGTTTGGGGCTTGCTGGAGATGGGATGCTTCAGCTTGCGTCTGAGCTCGGGGCAGGTTGCTCGCCCTCTCTCCTGGGAGGCTGGTTGAGCTGCCATGTGGAGCCAGGCTTTGCTCGGTGTTGGATGTGGGATTTCCTGGTGCCACCCTGGAGATACAGGTTAATGTGGGATGCAGTCCTGCCTTTAGTCATGCAGATCAAGGCACGGACCAAACAGAGGGCCAGGATGCACGAGTCATATGAAGTGAGGCTGGAAGCCGGGCTAAAATGAGTGAAACATGCTTGCATTCGCTGCCCGTTCCTACCCATGGCCCAAGGATAAGAGGCATGCTGACGGAGTCACGGAGCACCCGCTAGGTCTTTGTTTGGAGGGTTGTTCTGTTTAAAAGTTGTGATGCCCAAAGAGTCCCCCCACTGTTTCACTTGAGTTTTACCTTTTGTCCTTTACTCTTGTTTACTTTTAAGAACAACCCTTGAGATTTTCCTCATCTGTTTTCACAGGCTAACTTGCACGCACGCTTTCCCTCCCTCCCTGTCTCTCTCTAGATACAAATATATGAAAATTGGCAAGCCCCCTGGTAGTCTCTGAGTATCTTCCTGGTATGTGATCTAAAAAATGATCTCAGTATTGCAGGTGCCCTGGATAGTTATGAAAATAAGCCGTTCTCTTCTGGCTTCATAAAGACAGCTTTGCACATCAGCGGCAGAGAATGTCTTTTGTTGACATACAAATCCCTTCCTATCTGATCTGGCACCCATGCTTACCTCTAATCCATTGCTGGATGGCTTCTTCCCTGGTTCCTCTCCAGCAAGTGCTCTGCTCATACCCAGCTTAAAAGAAAAAAAAAAAAAATCTTTCTTGGTTGATATTAGCAGGTAGACTCGTTTGGATCCATTAATTTCATGAATCTGCGGTTCAGATCCATGCGGGATTTAAATGCATATGTTAAAAGGGTACTGGATTCATTATAGGTTTGGTATAGTACTGGCCATCTCATTCATCTCAGGCTATGATTCCATACACAAGCCATGATATGAATGTGATATGAATAATTCTGCATCCCTCCAGTGGAGAGACTGTTGGGAGCAACATTTTGCATTTGCAAGAAGACCAGGATATACCACGAACTTCAAAATATTCACCTGCTTAACCTGTTAGGGAGGATGATCTTTCAAGAAGTTTGGGAAGGTTGAGTGGTCTTCTCAGAACCTTGGAAAGATCTGTATGCCTTCATATTCCACCTGTGAATGTTGGGTTGCCCGTAATTTTTCCCCTTCACATTTCTATTTGCTGATTTTGAAACCATAATCAGGTCTGGATAGGGTATTTGCTTCACTTAGGATGAAATACTCTTTGGAGTTTCCCCATTACCACCTGAGGCAAGTCTTTGCATTTCATTCCTACTAGGTTGTCTTCAAAGCAGGATTTGTGTTACACTGTCATATCCATGACATAACCACGTGCCATTAATTATATGTCTTCTTTTCTCATTGGAATTTCCATCGCTTCCTCTTTGTGTTGCTCTTTTTGCTGAAAGTGCACTTTGAGATGTCATGAGGCAGATAACTGGCTTAGGAACCCCATAACGCGTGTCCGGTGGGGGTGATCGTTCACCAGTTTTTAATAATTAGACTTTCACGAATCCTTGTCAGAGCTGGCGTGTATCCCAAGGCTGTATTTTGCCTTTGGAAGATGTGGGGGCCCTTGATAGACGTTCCAAGGCAGTATCACTATCCATCTTTCACCTGGGGAAGTACTTTTATTGGAAACGTCTTCCCACACAGGTGGATGCAATCCAGTTTTGCGAGAGGAGATGCGTTCTAAACAGCAGTAGTGTACGTTCTGGCTCTGCTTTCTGTTGCCCTTCGATGCCTGTGGACTCTGCTTTGCAATTTTATGGGCTCATCATAAATAGGGCCTCCGTAACAGAAAATAAAAAAATTGACTCTCTTCCAGAGGGAGGCAATGCTGTAGGTCGGGAAAAGAGCAGAAAATGGCTGATCCTACTTGGTTTTCATTTAAGAACCTTCAGTAAGATCTGTATGCTTCACTAAATTACTTTGCCCTTTGGCTTTAAAGCAAAACTAGTTTGGGATTTCCCCTTCTAAGACTCACTTATTTTTCCAGGCAGGAGCCATAGTGCTTTTGTGATCTGTATTAATTAACGAAAGACAGGCAACAGAAGTAGCGCACCACTACTTCTTGACAACGCGGGGGGAAATGGCAGCCTTGCCTCCTTTGAAACCGACTGAGTTGTGAGCGGAGGGGGTGCTGTGCCTGCCTGCAGCTTCCTTCCTAGGTAGCGCATCCTTCACAAACCCGCTTTAGTCTCGGAAGCGGCCTTGATTCTTTAGATGGCCACCTGCACAGTACCTGTTGAGCTTAGGGTGCCAGAGTTCAGTCTTGGCTGTGCAGTTGGCACGAGGCCTCGGGCAGGCGACCACCGAGTGGCCTCCCTTGTCCAGTCACCAGCAAACAAGCCAGATTCGCCTACCTTTCTGCATTATTTGGACGGTGAGTCATCGTGGAATTAATTGGCATTGGGGGTTTGGGTGGGTTTACTTGGCTGCTCACCTCCATTACTCTCTGGAAGAGTGCTTAGTTAAGATAAGTAGCGCATCGAAGGAGCCATAGAGGAAACCTCGTGCTAGCAACTATATGAAACCGTGGTGTGTGCAGTGTGTGTTTTCTGTAGGTGTAGCTGAGTAATATGAGGTGTGACTCGCTCTTAAGATCCCCCAGATTGGGTGTGTTTGATTAATGTGATATGTCCTGGATTGTATCCCTGGCATGCCGGCTGGAATGTATTTTGGCTCTGGATCCTGCAACACACAAACACGCCCCCAGGCCCCGGTGACAGAAGTTCAAGAACGGTGATTCCAGAAGAAGAATAACCTTGTAGTGGTGGGAAGTTTCCCAATAAGCTGTAGAAAATGGAATTATTATTGTGGAGACTGTAATTCAATACTGTGGGGGTGCAGAAGGAAGACATATTAGAGAAGCCACTGTGTCGGTTGCCCTCAGCAGTATGAACAAAAGTATAGGTTCAATAAAGTAAATGAAAGCTTAGACTCCTAAGGGGAAAGTAATTAAGTTATGCATATATACTTTTTGCCATCAGCACCAATACATTAGCCTGGCTATCTTCAGGCTGTCAGCAGCAAAGGTTGCTGCATCTCTCTCTCTCCCCCCTCTCCTCCCTCCCCTCCCCTCCCCGCTCCTCTCCTCTCCTCTTCTTTATATTTGCATCCTAAAGAAGTTCCTTGATTGTAATAAACTAACCCATGGGCTTGGCCAAGTACTTTAGAAAAGGAAAATGGTTTGTCAGTTTTAATCACAAATCTGTGATGGCTTAGTCTCTGGGGTACGCGGTAATCCTCTTTTTCCTACACTTAGTGTAGCAGATGTGGTAAATTGCTGGATAATGCATTCAGCACGCCGAAGTTTGGTTTACATCCGACTCTCTTCCTGTCGCATGCGGACGAGAACCCTCTGTTAGACTCTGCTTTCCTATCCTTGGCAAACTGGCATGTTTGGAAGATGAGTTGCATGCCTGTTTTGGCAGCATGTGTCCCCATTGACAGGTACACAAGCGTACACCTTCTGATGTGCAACCTGGCCCCAACTAAGCGCTCCTGGAAAGGGAAGGCACCTTTGAAAATGACCTTTTGTTTATGAAGGAGGTGAGGCAGAAGTATCAGGTCAAAGGAAAGTCAAATGAACCAGTCCAACAACAACAGGCATTCAATCAGTCATACAAACTAATAGCTTAGTAGATACAGAAGAAATACATAGAAGGTGAGCGTGTGTGGGTGTGTGCAATTGACACGTGTGTGTGTGTGTGTGTGTGTGTGTGGTCTAGCAACAGGGAAGTGGGGGAGAGATACAAGCAGAGTCCAATTCGGAGAAAAGGAAGGAGGATTTCTTGCAAATAGGAGGGAAAAGGAGGAATCGGCTGGTGCTTCAGTGGGGTGTTTTAGGATATTTCTTGAACAAAGATTGTAATGAAAATGGAGAAATTTAAGGATGGAGAAGGACATTCCTGAGGGTGGAAGGAAAGGGATTGTTCACACTGAGGCGAGAGCAGAGGGATCTGGTAAAGCTCTTAGGCTACAGGCTACAGGTTTTGGGTGGTTAAACACTTTTTTAGCCCTGGATAAGCACATTAATTCTCCATCATCAAGAAAATGGGAGGATTCTTGCCCACAGCAAGAGCGCTGCCTGGTCTTTTCTTGATATTTGAGAATGGAGGGGCTTTCAAACAGGGAGGGTGCTAAAATGTGGTGAAAACCAGAATGAAAACCCTGAACAAATCTTGCGGAGAAAAAAGAGTGCCAGCAAATTAATGAGCTTCATGAGAAGAATGCAGGTCTTTCAGAATGCAGGAGGTAGCAGGTGATGTGGAGGTCAAGGGGAACCTCTTTGGGAGGCAGAAAAGGGCTGGTTCAAAAGATTCCTCCTGCACAGAGGATGCTGGGAAAACATTCCTGGCTACAGTCCATATACTCAAATCTGAGCTTAATACATGGAATATAGACGAGGGTGAGGTGGCTTTTTTCCAGCTGGCCAATCCCAGCTGTGACAGGGAGGGTGTTCGAATATATTGGCCTCCGCGTAAGCTAGCCAGTCATTCTTCTTCCATTTAACTTAAGCAAAGAGGACAACATCAACCCACCGCTGAATGTGTTATTTCCTGGGTCATTCCGGCATGATTTACAGTTTTCCAAGCAATATCCAGGGAGAGGGACAGGCTGCCATTTCTGTGATACTGGAACCAATGAGAGCTTCACGACAGTTTGCAACAAAGCAGGTGTCTT